AAACCCTAAGGGTTAGGTCAGGCAGGGATTAAATATTAGGGATATGAAAACTAAAGTTCAGATTGGTAATTCTGCTTGTCCAAGACATAAACAGAAACAAGAGTGAAACCTACCTACCTCTCTTCTGCAGTAGTAAAGCAGCAGTGGATAAGATTTTGTTTCTTTGGCTTGTTTGGGGGGCTTTTTTGTTTGTTTGTTTGTTTAATAATAAGGTGCACAAGTGGGTGGAAGCAGGAAAGACAAGAAACTTAAAGAAGTGAGGCTCAGACTGTGACTCCTAAAGCTACAGGACTGAGCAGACCACACTCTCCTGGACTTAAACTCTGATCTGAGGAGCTCCTGAATGCTGCAGGGAATCCCCATGAATGCCCACATTTCAGAGTATTAACTCTGAAGTCATGGTTTTCACAGACAGTCTAAAGATAAGTGGGGCTGCTGAATGTTTTTGTTATTTTTGTTGTTGTGTTGTAAGCTGGTAGGTCTAAGTTGCAATGTCAAGGCTTTCATGCCTTTCAGGTACAAAATGATATTGGCAAAAAGAGATAAATATGGGAGCAATTACAGCTGCACTATTTGGAAGGATGAATTCTCCTTTTCTCATCTCTGAACCACATACGGCAGCCTTTCCAGAGCCATGAATCATCCATTCGAGGTAAGGGAGGGGGCTTAGAAAATTAAATATAATTTATGCTGTGCTAATTGAAGTCAAACACAAAATTCAATCTCCTGTGAGTTTCAATACTCACGTTTAAATAGGGTGGAAGTATTATTAACCTGAACTCTACTTCAGCAAGTTGACTTAGCTTTTCTGGACAAAAAATAATTCCCTTCATCAAATCTCCCCATTGAAGAAGGGGAAATGGCTTAGTGGCTTATTCTCAGAGTCACAAGATCAAGCTAGAGCAGACACTGAAGGAAATAGACCTTAAACATGTCAAGTTTACATTTCTTTTTACTACCTTGAGTGTTCAACTATATCGCAAACAGAATCTGAAAAATAAAAAATCCTCAAGATTCCAAGGCTTAGGACTCTGCCCTCTATCTCTAGGAAATTTTAGTCTTCTGTTATATGCAAGGATGTATAAATAAGTTAATGGGGAGAGGGGTTCCCCACTTTTATTTCCCAGATGAAAATGTCTCATTCACCATTGGCTAACCATGTTAAAAATGGATTTGCTTGTCATATTTATGTGCCATATTTATGTGAGGACACAGACTTAGCACCTTTCTTTAAAAGCACCGCTTAAGGGCCGAGCCCGTGGCACACTCAGGAGAGTGCGGTGCTGGGAGCGCAGCAGCACTCCCGCTGTGGGTTCGGATCCTATATAGGGATGGCCGGTGCGCTCACTGGCTGAGCGTGGTGTGGCTGGTCTCAAAAAGGACAAAAAAAAAAAAAAAAAAGCACCACTTAAGGTCTTGATGTTCTGAATTTATGGCGACAGGGAAATGGAAAGTGGAGAGTAGGTGTGATTGAGGGGCTGACAGAGTTTGGATGTGTTTTCCCCACAAAGCTCATGTCATAATCTGATCCCCAACTTGGTAATGTTGGGAGTGGTTTGGGTCATAGGGGGTGGATTCCCCGTGAATGGATTAATGCTTCCTCGGGGGGTTGGGGGGGTAGTGAGTGAGTTCTCACTCTCTTAGTTCCCATGAGAGCTGGTTGTTTAAAGGACCCTGGCACCTCCTCTCTCTCTCTCTCTCTCTCTCTCTCTCTCTCTCTCTTGCTTCCTCTGGCCATGTGATCTGCTCATACCTGCAGGTTGGCCTGCCACTTTCCACCATGAGTAGAAGCAGCCTGAGGCCCATGCCAGATGTAGCTGTCCAGAATCATGAGCCAAATAAAGCTCTTTCCCCTATAAATTATCCAGTCTCAGGTATTCTGTTATAGCAACACAAAAACAGACTAATATAGGGGCTGAATCAATGTGTTTCCACCCAGAATGGAAGAGATGGGAGCTGGCTAGAGTAATGGTCCTTCTTACCTAGCAGGTTAACATTTTTAAAGCTTTCCTATAGTCAGATACTATGACTGTCTAAGTTATAATGTCACCTCCCACCTAGCTGCCACTGAACTCCAAAAGAGAACATGTTCCTGCAAGGAAGCCATAAAAACTTGGGGGCCGCTTCCCTTGGAAATAATTTCCACAAAACATCAAAGGAGGGTGGGAGGGAGAAAGGAAAAAGAAGCACGCAGATAAGACTTTCCTCCAGTTGTACTCAGTCACAGCTTCCAGAAGAATATTTTGAAAGGACAGGTACCTGAACCCCACCCTAGAGTTTCTGATTCATGCACAGGTCTGAAATGGAGCTCAGGAAGCTGTATCTTGAACAAACTCCACAGCTGACTCTGATGTGTAGCTAGTGTTGAAATCCACTCACTCCTTGATTTGCTTATAAAACAAAGCCCCACATCAGCCAGTCCCACCATACAGCTCTCTGAACAATGATGGATTTTCTTCCTTCAAATGCGTGTGTGTATTTTGATCTATATATTCTTTTACTTTGGTAGTAAAAGTATATCTGTTGCCTTCAGCCCAATAACTACTTTCTTATCTAGAAAAAAAAATATATATATATATATATATATGTGTGTGTGTAAGGCTATTTCCGAATCTGGCATATCAGTCCAGGATTGGTAAGATAAAGAAAGTTGTACCCCTTTCAGGAGTGCAGGTTTTCTTTGAGCTACTGCAAGAATCATCCTGCCCTGCAGACAGAATCCTCCAAACTCTTGAATCTGGACCTTTCTGGCCATCCCAAGGAAAGGATGCTTGCGACATTTCAGGGAAGGGGTAGGGATGGAGGTGACCCACACAAACACACCATCGAAATCTATTAATCAGGTTGCATTAAGCTTTATAACAACACAGTTTTCATTTAGCGGGAGAAATGAGAGTTCGATAACAGCTGAACAGATTTAACTCCCCCCACGCGTAGAAATTTCCAATTTCACTACAACAATTCTTGGTTTTGAAGATCTGTGAACAAGTGCTTTATGTTGAATGCTGCATTTTAATTGAATCAAACTAATGGGAAGGGACACTTTATTCAGCAGCCCTTGATGGGGGTGTCTGCAGACAGCCCTTGCCCTCCTTCAGCCCCCATAAACTTGCCCCAACAAGTGGAGACAGCCCTCTTGCTTTTGCCCCAATATA